AAGTGTGTAAAAATGGAAGCCCCTGGGGCCAGGAGTCCTACTCTTGATCTCCTTGACCTGCTCAACGATTTCGCTGAGGATATCGACTCCCACTTCTTTCACCTTCGCATCATCCTTCTTCACTTCGTCAAGGCGGGTCATTATGTCATCAGGGATTTTCGCATGGCTGAGCTTTGTGGTTCGCTTGATCATCTGGTAGCTCTGGATCGGCATCAAGCCAGGAATGATGGGTATCGTTTGGAAGGTGCCACTGGGGTGTTCTCTCAAGATCTTCTCAAAGCTGTCGTAGGCCTGCGTGTCGAAGAAAAGCTGGGTCATAATAAAGTCGGCGCCAGCTTTTGTCTTGTCAACCAGATAGGGGAGATCAAGCTCCAGACTCTGACCCAAAGGATGCGACTCGTCGGCATGACCTTCTGGGTAGGCAGCGACGCCAATGCAAAAGTAATCACCGTGATTCTTCCTGATGTACCGTACGAGATCGATGGCCCATACGAAGGTCTCGTCGATGGCATTGTCAGGGTCCTCATTGAGATCTTGGTATTCTGCGGCTCTGGGGGGATCGCCGCGCAGGGCCAAGATGTTCCGGATACCCAGCACTTTCGCGTCGTCCAATGCGCGGTCGATCATCTTCCGGCTCATGTTGGTGCAGGTGAGGTGCAGACATGTTGTAAGGTTCAGCTCTCTCTGGCAGATCTCGGCCAGCTCGAGCGACTTGGTAGCAGTCGAACCACCGGCGCCCCAGGTGACATTTACGAATAGGGGTCGCAATGCTCGTGCCATTCGATCGAGACGGTCGCGCAGATTCGAAAACCCCATAGCAGTCTTGGGGGGGAAGAATTCGAGGGAGAAGTAGTTGGAATCGGCCGGCAATGCGGCTATCTTGTCGGTGATCTTCTCCATGCTGGGCGGTTCCAACTGTATCCTCGCAGTCTGGCAGTCGGGACCGCACTGGATTGCGGACTGAGGATGCGTATGCGTATGCGTATGCGTATGCGTATGCGTATGTGGAGGGGGACGGGGATGGGGAGGGGAATAGATGGAGGGGCAGACACAGCTGGAACTCTGGCAAGACTAGGTGGAAATGGAAAGGGAAATGGAAAGGGGAACGCGTATGCGGCGACGTTGCATAGAGAGAGTGTTTGGCATGTCGTGGGAATAGTCTACATATGTAGGTAGCTGGTAGCTGGTAGCCGGTAGGTTAGGGACATACATAACAGTGTCTTGCTTGAGTGAGTGTGCTTTCCAGAAATTTTCCCACCAGCATCGCCCCGGTCGCCGCAATCGCTCCTCCTATCTATCTACCGGGTGCGACCTCGTCGGTGGTGGGACCGGGTCCGGCCCTAGAGTACTGCAATACCGGTAACTACATACCTTCACTATCTACATGTAGATACTGAAATCTAGAGTTGCCATGCAATCGGTTGAAGCCTATCTTCAGAACATTGAAGACGACCCCGGCAGCCAGACAGATCCGACCCTTGACTCTGGTGCGTTATCTACGGAGTACATCCCTACCTAGCCTAGGTAGGAACTTATCCGAGATCCAGACATTCCGAGGACTTGGTTGGTAAGGAGGGAAGTCGATTGGTAATACTCAAGATACCAACCAGTCGCCCACCATCCCATTCCCCCCGTCAATGCTGCAGGCAGCTCTCATACATACCTAGAATTACCTACCTGGGTCTTCGTAATTCGTAAAATACCTAAGATAAGTAGGTAGACACCTACATGTAGCCAGTCTTTCCTTTATCTATGGCTCATATTGTTATGTGCACCTAGACCCATGGCTTGCTGAATCAACATCACTCCATGCCATTCATCACCATAGATAACGTGAAACAGAGAGCTACACGTATCCGACTATCTTCTTCATCGTCATGGACCATTCAGGGTACAGCATCGCCGATATGGCGAAGCCGGAGCCCAAAGATATGGCCCATCATTACTCCGATGTCAGCAAAAACCGCAAGCCGAGCAGCATGAAAGAATACTACCGCTATTTCTTCATCCCCGGAATCGCCCAACTGGCCGGCGGTCTCCCCAACTCGCAATATTTCCCCTTCGACACTCTCGAAGCCCAGACCGCCAAACCAGATCGCTGGACTCCTACACCGAACCACCCAGCCGGTGACGGTCCCCTCTCGTCTAGGCTCGCCGCGACGACTGTCTCCCAGAAGAGTCCCGACTCCACCGCCTCCCACGTCGTAGTACCCCACGATGCGCCCACCTCCGACCTGACCAAGAAGATCGATCTAGCTACAGCGTTGCAGTATGGCCAAGCTAACGGATACCTGCCGCTCCTGTCATTTATCCGACAGTTCACGCGCGAGGTCATGCACCCCAATGTGCCCTACAAGGGCGGGCCCGAGGTCCTATTCACATGCGGATCGACGGACGGGTTCTCTAAGTGCTTGGAGCTGTTCAACAATCACTGGATCCAAGGTAAAAACGACATTCGGGAGCGACCTGGTCTGTTGACCGAGGTCTTTGCCTACAACAGTGCGCTAAATCAGGCCGTCCCCAGAGGAATGAATGTCGTGACCGTGGAGATGGACGACGTTGGCATGAAAGCCGATGGCCCGGGTGGGTTAGAGGATGTCCTCGCTAACTGGGACGACAGCAAGGGGAAACGACCACACATGATGTACACTGTCACGTAAGTCTGATGCTTGCCCTTCACAGCCCATGCCATAAAACGAGGGGTTCAAAGAGTCGGCAGTGACGGGACGAACCTTGATAAGTCCTCATGGCGAGAACACACAGATGATTCGATATACTGATAGCCCTTTCAGGATGGGACACAACCCGTGTGGCAGTGTGTTGACGCTAGAGCGGAGAAAGGAGATCTACGCCCTCTGCAGCAAGTTCGATGTGATCATTGTCGAAGACGATCCGTACTGGTACCTCCAGTTCCCATCGGCCGAGGTCGAGCAGGCCAAGATGCGGGGGCAGACCGTCCCGGAGCGCCAGCCAGCCAACACGCTGGAGAAGAAGTCCGGCTACGAGTTCCTCGACTCGCTCGTGCCCTCGTTCCTGAATATTGATATCGACGGCCGCGTCGTCCGCCTCGATACCTTCTCCAAGACCATTGCGCCCGGCTGCCGTATGGGCTACATAACCTCGACCCCGGCCATCTGCGAGCGCTTCCTGCGCATCAGCGAGGCGAGCACGCAGCAACCCTCGGGCTTCGTCCAGGTCGTCGTAGCCGAGATGATCATGGGCGCCCAGCCCGAGGCTCTAGCCAAATTCAAGGCGCGGCCCGCCAGGGACCAGCAGACCTTCGCGGGCTGGAAGACGGACGGGTGGGTCAGGTGGCTGGCGGGCCTGCGCGGCGAGTATGAGAGGCGTATGCGCCGGATGTGTACCATTCTCGAGGAGAATTGCTACCAGCTCAAGCAGTCGACGCCCGTGCGCGGCACCGACGCCGATTGGGGCGTCATTACCAAGACGCAGCTGTACGACTTCCAATGGCCGCGGGGAGGCATGTTCCTCTGGCTGCACATGCGATTCGAGACGCACCCGCTTTGGAAGGCGACGGGCACCAAAGGCAACGTGATCAACGGTACGGTGCTGTCGACGACGCTCATGATGTTTCTGACGCAGAAGCCGCACCTCGTGCTGATCGGGCCCGGTCTCATGTTCGGGTCCTCAGACAAGGTCCGGGCCGAGCGCGGCTGGGCCTACTACCGGCTCTGCTTCGCGGCGGAGTCGGACGAGAATGTTGATGCTGGCGCGTATCGGTTCGCCATGGGGGTGCAGAAGTTCTGGCGCATCAAGAAGGCGAAGGAATTGGAGGATATTTTGGATGGGGAGGCTACTTCGAGACAAGCTGGGCCGGACACCGAGGAGGGCTTGGCGAATTTGGGTACTTGGATGGGGTGTTAGGATGGGACGAATAGGGGGCTCATAGTAAAAGAGCTGTCGAAGGCATACACGGCCAGGACAGCCACGGTATAGTACGATTCCCCCGATTGTTACGACACCTTCATATATACGACGTTATAAGCCACAGCACACATAGATAAATGACTTATTGTATTTACCTAGGTAGACTGCGAACACCACGGCCAATGGGGAGGGAGTCTAACTAGCTTACGTACATGGTCGTCTTCGCGACCTCCAATGTGGCCTACCAGTATCGGTAAGCTCGAGGGTGTATATGTCAAAGAATGCTGCTCCTTGAGGTCATATGAGTATCTACTCCCATGGCAGGTACTACTGAGTGATTCCCTACCGAGATGTTGGTATGTCGCCTCTGTAGGCATGAGTGTCTGTCGGGGTAGACAGCTTCTACGACAGGATCGGCTATCAAGTGGTTGTTCCAGCGTACTCCGTAGTCAGATGGCATGGCATAATCAAGTCACTAAAGGGCTTACTTATTCGACGACAGCAACATTGTGAACAGGGCCCGCGGCTTCTTTCTTGCCTGCACGTTTCAGACTTTAACTTAGCCGCATTATGCCATATTACATGTCATTCCGTCATAAAACAAGCTGTTCTGGTATCGTGGATCGATGTATCTCTGGGAGAGTTGTAAGACCCTGCTGCATCTCGTGCCGCTCGTGTTTCGTTCCGCAGAAGGCACTGCTCATACGGCAGGCTGGAAGCATTGATATCACATTACAGCTGGTTACTACTGCTGGAGAGAGAACCGGAAAGATATCCACAGCCGTGCAAAATAGCTCTCACCGTGCCGTCCAGAATTTAGAGCTCCAGAATGTAGAGCAGGTTGGGATACTGCTCGACAAGCGGTCAAGTGTACCCTGTCGTCTACGTACTGCTCTGTCCCAAAAGCAGAGACTGCTTCAGTGACAGAGTTCTGAAGGGAATGAAATGTGAGGTTGCCTACGACCGGGTAGAAAGAAGCAGGATGCTTTTGATACACACAAGCACACCGCGTCTTGTTCGACTGAATAAAACAAAGACCACGCAAGACGAGGGAAAGATAATATGTGATTATCCGAACGAAGGGTCAAAAAACTAAAAAAAAGAGATAAGATCTCCGAATCGGGGAATCGAACCCCGAGCTTGTCGGGTCTGATGGTCATGAACCATGAGAGCGACAGATGTTAACCATTACACCAATTCGGATCTGTGGTGATTGTTGAAATGTTTGAATATTGATGATCTATATTCCTTTCAAGCAAATGAGAAATCAGACTACTCCACCTTCTAGTTTTGAATAGACAACAATATATTACATTTGAATTTGGCCACATTTTAAGGCTCTAGCAATCAATCTACATTACCTGATCGTTTCACCTGAAGCATTCCGAATTTTGCATTGAGTAGTAGGGTGGCCTTCATCGTGTCGCCAATTTATGCAGGTCGTAGGGTATTCAGTCCGACTTGTCTAAACACGTTCGAGTGAAGACAAGAAGCGTCCTGGGGTAGCAAATACCTACCTAGGTACCTATATACATATATATGTACCTAGGTAGTTAGTCGCATATTCGAACGAGAGGATCAATGACAACCTGGGCCTGAGGTACTTCCAGCAATGTTTGGAATCAGAACATTACCTACCTAGGTACCTAGGTACTTTTGAGACCTGAGTTTGGGTATATAAGATGGCTAGATGCATACTTATGTACATACCTAGGTATGTATCTACCTAAGTTTTCCTGGGTATATTATGTAGCTAGCGCAGCTCATATACGAGAGGGAGAAAAGCCAGAAAGCGGGTGGGGGCCACTTGGGAAAAGTTCGCTTAGCCCTGGCCCGAGAGCCCACGAACAAGTAAAATAATTTGGTGGGCTCCGTAACTTTTCCAAATCCAATCTTCATTTAACACCACCAAATTCCGACATCTCGAGCCCGACGACCACCTCATCGCGGTAAGTTCAACTCGCAACTCTGTATGCCAAGCTCTGCTTCTATACTTTCCCTCTCTGCTCCTTTCTGTCAACTGCCTTTGCTTTCGGCCCATCGACTGACTGTACTTCCCTCTAGAATACACGACTTTCGCGATGGCCTCGAGACCTACCGTCACCATCATCGGCAAGGATGGTTCTCCCTCGGGAGCTACCCACCCTCTGCCTACCGTCTTCACTGCGCCCATTCGCCCTGATATCGTCCAGCAAGTCCACACCGGAATGGCCAAGAATAAGCGACAACCCTACGCCGTGAGCGAGAAGGCTGGTCACCAAACCTCCGCCGAGTCTTGGGGTACTGGTATGTGAACCCCAATTTCTTCATCGTACATGGACAGGATTGAGTTCTGCATTCGATGACTCCTGCGGGGCTTGTCGAAAGACGGCACGAACAACTCGAAACTATGACGATTGCTGACCATGTCTCCAGGTCGTGCTGTTGCCCGTATTCCCCGTGTGTCTGGTGGCGGTACTCACCGCGCTGGTCAGGCTGCTTTTGGTAACATGTGCCGTTCTGGTCGCATGTTCGCTCCTACCAAGATCTGGCGAAAGTGGCACATCAAGATCAACCAGGGTCAGAAGTAAGTTGAAATTTATTCGCTAGCTATGTTGCGGGTCAGGACTATTATCTAACATGGGCGGTGGACAGGCGATTTGCTACTGCCTCTGCTCTTGCCGCCTCCGCCGTTCCCCCTCTATTGCTCGCCCGTGGTCACCAGATCTCGTCTGTTCCCGAGGTCCCGCTGGTTGTTGACTCCGCCGTCTTCGAGGGTGCTGCCGCTGCCAAGACTGCCAGTGCTTTCACCATCTTGACCGCTGCTGGTGCGTCTGCCGACATTCTCAAGGCCAAGAACTCGAAGAAGCTCCGCGCTGGCAAGGGCAAGCTCCGTGGTCGCCGTCACCGACAGCGTCGCGGTCCTCTGGTCATCTACGATCCCGAGGTTGATGGAAAGGAGTTGGTCAAGGGTTGCCGTAACCTTCCTGGTGTTGAGACCTGCTCTGTCTACGCCTTGAACCTCCTGCAGCTTGCCCCCGGTGGTCACCTCGGTCGGTTCATTGTCTGGTCCTCGGCTGCATTCAAGGCTCTCGATACCATTTATGGTACCACCACCCAGCCCTCCGAGCTGAAGAAGGACTTCCTCCTGCCATCGAGCATCGTCTCCCAAGCCGATCTGAGCCGTCTGATCAACAGCTCTGAAATCCAGAGCGTCCTCCGCGCTCCCCAAGGCGGCCCTCTTACCAAGCGTGCTGCCGTCCAGAAGAACCCGCTGCGCAACAAGCAGGTCATGCTCCGCTTCAACCCTTACCATGCGACTTTCGTGAAGGACAAGGTTGGACAGCAGAAGGTCAGCGATGGCAAGCCCAAGAAAACCCCCGAGGCTTTCTTGAGTCTTGTGAAGGAGGCTTAGATCAGCTGAGTGAGCAGTATGGTCTAATTGGTGGAGAAAAGGTTCTACTGCGGATATGGCGTAATGGCTCATTAGGGTTAAATGATTCAATGGATTCCCATTCTGAGCATGTTTTTCAGAATGACTGCTCTCGTGATGTGCCCTCATTCATATGCCTTTCCCGATTTCTCGGGCCTATTGTGTGATATTTGACTAGTAACCCCATGGTTAATCAGTAGAGACCTACGTACGCAGTACTGAGTGTTGATCCAAGAGTTTGCTCCAGATGCCGCGGGCCTTCTCCTACTGGGACTCCGAATTTCCCCTGCGACCGATACTATTGAATGTCGCTTGTTTAGAAGCATCTACAGATAAAACCTGGATGCGGCTTTCCTATTGCAGGGTTGATTCTTCCTGGCAATAACAAATTGCTCCTGATCTAGAGGCTGATTTCTCCGTTCGGCATATCGAGTTATTTGGCATATGGCTCTGGAGCTCAAGCCTTGACCCATTGCCTCACACAGTTAATTGCCTACATAGGGTATGCACGTATGTACATAATGTACTCGAGTTGTTATTCCCCGTTGTGGGAAGGGACAGCGATGGAGACAGTGAGGTCTAAGTACTCTGTTGCAGTCAGACCGGGACCCACTCTTCCGGTTTACACGACAAGTGATGTCCAGAGTCCGGCTATAGTCCCGTCCCTCCTACCTTTATGCCCTCCTACGCAAGTGTTTACCTAGTTAGAAGTTTATATAGCCACTTGGGTACGACTGTGGTTCATCTGGTACCGATATTGAGACTACGGACCTCCTTACCGTCGTCAACTGATATGATTAGTTGTCCAAGATACAACTATCGGCACCCAGCGACGCCAACTGCGAAGTCCTCCATCACTTCCTCCAACCACTCAAGCTCTTCTCAAGCTTTCTTCGGGTTTACGACTTGATTTTTTCTGCTTGTAATAACCAACCACCGTCAAAGGAGCAGGGTGCAACAATTGCGGATTTCAAATATGGTGTCTTGTGTCTCAAGCGTTGGCCGCTTCGCCTTTGTCCAAGACAATGATGATTCTCAGAGCAACATCCGTAGCAAGGGCCAGCAGAAACGGTCTGAAGAGCACCTCCGTGTCGAAACTAAAAGCTGTAAACCCATTTTAATGACAGGCCCAATGCGGCAAACTACCACGTTTACCCCTCCGTGGTTTATTAGTCTGTGACATTTCGCAGCACTTAAGCACGTAGGTTTGGTTGAAACCAAACCGGGATGTCGTATAGAAAATCTGGTATATGTTACTGCCAGCATGAATAGGCAATCATCAAAAAAGTTCGAAACCCAAAGTCTCGCAACTTTGTCGTTGCTTATTCCTCATTTCAAGGTGTACCAGGCTGATTCTTCAATTATGTAAGTGAAGTTGACATGTTTAACTACCTAGGTACCGATCTGAATCTGCTGCCATGGTGTAAGTCCAGGGCGGTAGTATGGTTTCGGAGAAGAGGCGCCTTGAAATGGTTTCTGTCTAATGGAAGGGGTGTGTGTAGAAAGCAAATATTATAGATCTTAATGATGGTCTTGCGCAATCGTATTCTACAAGGAGCAAATATTAGATCTTGGTCGTTATGAGGTAGGCCAGCAAGAAAAAGAGCGGTATCACAGGATTTTCAGGAAATACAAGAATATATATCTTATAATAGATGATAGATGGTTGCCTTCTGTAATTTGCATTACACATATCTCATATCTCTTATATTTCTTAATGGTTGTCTTGCGCAATGGTATTGCACAAGGATAATGATAACCCAACAGGGCGAGATACAACAATAAGGCAAGAATATATGTCACTGTTTATGTACTCTTACCTACCTTTCTTCTCTTACACTATATCTGGGAGCAAAAGATTATACCAACCTGCATTGCTTATTTCAGCCCTATGCCATGAAAGGAGAGATGACAGCCTATCAACCTTCAAGCCAAAAAGGGGACAACAGACTTCCTATTTACGTTAAGAGAAAGATGAACAGGCACAAAAATATGTTGTTATCGGACTTGACGTGTTGTAGATAACGTGCCACTAATATTTCAATTGCACTGTACAAGTAGGAGAGACCACCAGAGACACAGATGAGCTCACCAACCCAACCGCCTATCGAATGAGATTCCTTTCAGAGTTGTGAAGTCAAGTTGTTGTATAGAAATCTCACCGGTCACCTCATGCTGCACTTCCTGACCCAAAGCCAATCATGTCGCCATCGATCATGCAACATATACGGGAATGTCTCTGCGAGTGCAGCCGCGAGGAACTCAAAGAAATCATTATACGCATATGCGAGAATGATGAGACGAACCAAGAGGTTTTCTACAGAGCCGTGGAAGCTCTGAAGATCAAGGACCAGCCCCATAGCAGCGCTGCCGAGGTGAGAACCCCCCGGTAGATCCTGTATAGCCGCATAGACGACAAACAAACATCATGGGTATCTGTGTATCTGTGAAAAAATACAGAAGGAGCAGCCATTGACCCTCAAATTGTGCTTAGGGCGCCTCAACTGATACCTCTGAGGCTACGACTACCAAGAACCAAAGGCGCCACCCCCTTCCTACGAGCCGATTCCGTCCTCCTGCTGTGGCCAAAGGAACCGGTAGCACTCTTCAAGCCAAATCAAATGATAGCTCTTCTGTAGCCAGAGATGACGGGCTTCCCCCAAAAATCTCCAAAGAGCCCGTGTCACACAATTCCACAGAACCGCCTCGAAACATTATTCCCACACATCGCCGTCCGATCAATCAGTATGGGAACGCAACGTGTGCAAACTGCCACGAGGGATATTTCGCT